AAAAGGAAATGGATTTTAAATGGCTGCCCACTGTAGTGAGCATCTTGCCTGAAAGGGGTTTAAAAAAAAAAAACAGCTTTTACCTCCTGAACTGGCTCAGCAATTCAGAAACAAAAACATCCAAATTTTCCACCCTATTGGCTGCTGAAATCTGATAAACTTACAAGCTCTCGGCGTTTACAAAGTTCTCCCAAAACTGCTGAGTGGACACAAAAACCACATGCAGAATTGGTGGGAGATCCAGTCCAGACTCAGAGAGATCCACCGTGATTGGATCAGGGGTTTGTCACCTTTAAGGTGACAGAAATCCATCGATCCGACCGTCCTCTGCCCCACTTATTCCCAGCAGGCTCACGGGGGGGGGGGGGGCACATTCCCCCCCAAAACACAAGCAAAAAGCAGAATGAAAGACAAGTAGAGAAAAATAAATCACCTGAAGTCACAAAATGAAACAGAACAACCACAAATCCTGAAAAAAAACAAACAGATTTGTTGCATTTAAACTGTAATATCTCACCCTTTTTAATCATATTGATTGGCCAGTTTTATATATTGATGTTTTTATGTGCATATGCTTTCCTGTTTGAGCTAAACCTGAAACACGGATGGGAGTTTAGCGCTTAGGGGTCAGAATTAAATGCAATGAGACTAAAACGCCACCACACAAACACAAAGGATCTTTTTCAGGATTTTCCAAAGTAAGATGAAACTGTGACGGCCTCCACAGAAACCTCAGTATGATTCTGTTTGTGTGTGTTCCCTGTAAAAGATTAAGTTTTTCCTTGTTAAAGTCCACCTGTGGTTAAAGGTAGCTGTGAAAAAGCTTTGTCCTATCTTCCTCTTTTTTTTATAAGCTGCCAAACTTTTTCTCAAAGTGTTTGAGACACTAAACGTTGATTTGTGAATCAATGGACTGTAAAAAAAAAAGTAATAATCTGCTTAACAGGATGAACCAGTGCTGAGTCAACAAAATGACAAAAAGCAGTTTAGATTGGGTCTCTAGGCTCTTTGTTATTAGACACATCATGATTTCCATTTCTTTAGTTAGTTAGTTAGTGAAAAATGCCAAAGATAACACAGTTTGATGGACAGAAAACAAGTTGAGAACGGAGCAAAAGGATCCAGAGAAGAGCTTTGGGATGTCCTTTAAGAAGGTGGAGAGCTGGAGGAAGGAAGGAGCTCAGAGATGGAGGAGAACCGTCTGAGGTGGTGAGTGTGTGTGAGTGTGTGTGAGTGTGTGTGAGAGCCACCGCCTCGGGGGTGTGCTGAAAAAGAAAAAAGACCCCAGACTGTCACCGTCTTCCGCTCTGCCCTCCATTATTAAGACGATTGGGAACATGAGAACAAATC